ATAATTATTGTTTATATTTGTAATATATTTATATTATACATACCGTAAACCGGGGTAACTTTGGCCGGCGGGGTAATTGTGGCCATTTTTAAAAATTTTAATTAAACATCTCTAACTTTTAAACAGTTAAGTAACGTTTAACTATTTTTGTTTTATTTAAAAATGCAATCTATCTTACTTAAATTTTGATTTGAAGTTTGTTGCAAATGCTCTTTACTATAAGTAAAAAAGAATGAAAACTATATCTTGCTCAAACACAATCAAAAACTGTAAAACAGAATGTTGTCTGGGCGAAGATAAAAAAGATAGCAAACAACTCAGTTTTTCTTCTTTTTTAAAGAGAAACGTTCAGATAAAATTAAGCAAAAAGTTTTTGGCTCAAGTAACAACATTCTGGTTTCTTTTACTGGGTGGTCAAAGTTACCCCGTAGGTTTATACTCTTTTGGGGTAACTTTGGCCAAGTAAACAATATTTATTTTAAAGTAGTCTGATCGTTATTTATTATAACTAAAATATTATTTTGAAGCATGTTATCCAAATAATTTTTTTTGAAAAACAGATTTTGCATGAATGTATTTTAGATTTTAAAAAAAGTATATTTTCTTGTTAATAGGTACGTGAAAATCGCGTTTTACGGAACCGAATTTTGTGCTAAAATTCTGTTCCACGCTTTTCGTAGTCTCTTAAAAGTTAGCGTGCTTGAGGAAGGCTTTGTGGAAAAACTTTTTAGTATTCGTTATCAACATAGATTATTTTTAGAAAGAAGAATAGTTGAAGCATTAGTTCGATTGGTTTTTAATTATACTCACTTAATTTATTAACGAGTTTATTGATGTCAAAATTTTGGTTGTACTTCTGTGGTGAATTTAATGTCCAGGATATAGTCTTTTTTATTCTATCCAATATTTCTATTAAATTTATTCATTTATCTATGCACCTGCAAAATTTCATTGAAAAATATTTTGTAGCAGTCACCTTATTTCTTGCTGCACTTTTGTTACCTAATTTACATTTTACGTGGTTGGCGCGGGAGACAGAGGGGTACGTTGATTGTTTTTATTTATATTTATTTTACATATATAGTATTCATATTAGCAATATTTGACTTATGTCATAAATTGATACTGTAACCCTAGATATTTTAGAATAAAAATATAGTTAAAAAATTTGTAAATTTAAAAGAAATTGTTTTAATAAAACGATTTTTAGTAAATAACTAAATAAGACTTGGATTTTATATTTCATTTAGAAATAAAATGGAGAAAGAAAATAAAGGTTTCATCTAGCATTTTATATCATATTCATAATAAGATTTAGATGTGAATCAAATTAGTGATGAATCATATCTAATTTGAAGTTTGAACATTGTCTTTATTTAATAAGGAATATCTTTATGAATAAGTTGTTTCGATATAAATTTATTAAGATGTTTTTAAATTATCTGGCCTCTACCTAAACCTTTATGTATAACTTGAATATTTCTTTCACTGTTTTAGATGCCCAAAGTTGAAGTGCAGCCGAAAACATCAGTTAGTTACTTTCTGTATTCAATAGCTTAGTAGTTATTTAATAGATGCTATTATAATATATGTTCTCTCTCTCTCTCTCTCTCTCTCTCTCTCTCTCTATATATATATATATATATATATATATATATATATATATATATATATATATATATATATATATATATATATATATATATATGTATATATATATATATATATATATATATATATATATATATATATATATATATATATATATATATATATATATATATATATATATATATATATATATATATGAAGACCACACGGGTAAACCCACAGATGTCACATTTTTCTCATTTCAAGAAAAATGAAATTTAGTTTTTAGTGACTTTAGATATCTGTTTATTAATAATTTATTTAATTAAAAGTATATTTTTCTGACATTTTAGTCCTTATACAATATAAAAACGCAGTTTTTGTGCTAAATACAAGTATTATTTATTCACAATGTTCTTTTGAAAACAAGACACTCATTTTGGACATCTGTTGTTTTTCCGTTGTAAACTCATCAACTCGTAAATTATGTTAGCTTGTAACCTTTTAGAGCACTTATTTTTTTTTAAGGTAGATGGTAACACATTGTAATTTACAACTACAACGTACTAAGTGTGTATGGGATAATAAAGCCACCGCCCCCCCCCCCCTTTGATAAAAAAAGTTCGAACAAAATATTATAGGAAAGTTTTTTTTTAACTTTATACAAAATAGCATTGCAACCTTATCTCTTCCTCAACCTCATCTATTTACCACAGATGATACCATGATGTCTGTGTTCCATCACTTTATATCAAGTTTGTATAAACAATACGAAAACCAATTGAGAACACAACGTTAATAAAAATGTTTCGTTTTTAATTTCAAAGATATATATATATATATATATATATATATATATATATATATATATATATATATATATATATATATATATATATATATATATATATATATATATATATATAATGTTTTTTAAAATGTTTTCCGGTGAACGTAATGTTGTTTACTTCATCCGAAAAGTTAGTCATGTGACTTGCGCTTTTATTATCATTGGTTTAGTTAAAAATAACTTGGACAACTGCGGTAAACATTGGACAACAGTGGTTGTTTCAAAGTTGCCCTTTTTTTTAAATGACCATAGAACCTTAAAAAATAGTTTTTTTGTTATAAATTTTTAAATTAAAATAGGTTAATACTAAAATATCATAAAAATATATAAAGCTTGAAATTTTCAAAAAGTGGACATCTGTGGTTTTACCCGTGTGGTCTTCATATATATATATATATATATTATATATATATATATATATATATATATATATACATATATAAACATATATATATATATATATATATACATATATATATATATATATATATATATATATATATATATATATATATATATATATATATATATATATATATATATATATATATATATATATATAAATGATTTACTATATGCAAATTTTTATATTACTTTGTAAAAATAAAGTTTATTTAATTTTTGTTTAGATGAAGTTGCTTTAGAGAGAATCAGTCAGTTATATCCCTATTATATGATATAACATTTTAGTATTTAGTCATTTACTATTAGTTTTCTAATACAGTTCTTTATTATGCCTATGTAGATTGTTGTCTAACAATATTATTTCTTGTTAGTTGTATTTTTGTATACTTAATACTTACATTTTATTAAGTCACTCTTTTTTTTCTTTAGACAATTTAGAACAAACAATCAGTAAGTTAAGTTTGAATTGTTTTAGTTACTATATCATTTATAGTATTTGCATGCTGTTGTGTTAGTATTCCTTGTTGAATAAATGTTTTGATTTAAAATTGGCATTTAGGTGAGTAGGGCAAGCAGATATGTAAGTTTTGTAGATTTCTATATTTTTCAACATACAACTTATTGATACATAATAACAATTATAAACTTCTAATAAATGTTTTATTTTAACATTGGCATCTAGATTTAAGTTTAAGAGAAAAGATTGTTAAATGGTCAATTAACGTAGCACATAAAAACAGATTTACAAATCAACTGCATCGATGCAAAGTCAGAGATAAGATTTGCCGAAGACAAAAAATGGATGAAAAAGATAAAAGAAAGTTAGAGCGTGAGCTATCCAAAATAAATTTTAACGAAATTATTAATTCATGCAAGCGCTTGTCCAATGACCAACTATTTGATTTTGAAGATGTCATGTCAGATAGAATTGTTCGGAAAAAACTAGAACATGAATGGTACAATCCAAAAACATGCAAAAGTGTTTTACATAACGACAGAGTAGAAAAAGTTAATAAAAGAAAAAACAACTTTAGGGGCCATCCATAAAGGATGTCACCAGTTTTTAGCCTATTTTTGACCCCATCCCTCCTTTGTCACCAGTTGTCCTTTTTCCCAATACCCCTTGGAAAAGAACTCATAAAATCCTGACCCCCTTCCCTATTTTTAACTCCATAAAAATTTATTTCATCTCGCAATGATGTTTGAATCTGCTGCTACACCTTTGAAAAATAAAATTAAAATATTCTCATACATTATCTTCTTAAAAACACATGTTTACGTAGTTTTCCATGTTAATTAAACTAAAATAAAAAATCTATAAAGTGACGTCATTTTCTAACAACCTCCCCCCTCCTCTTGTCCTTTTTTGTCCTTTTTATTTTGATCCCCTCCCCCCCTATTCGGATGACGTCCATTATGGATGGCCCTTTATTTACACCATTTCTTACTGGAAAGATGATCAAACTAATATTGAAGCTGTTGACTATTGCATGAAAAAGATCCAGCTTGCTACTGATATTGTTTCCGGTGAATTAAAATTCAATTAATTTAATAACACTGCAATTGTTGTGACTTGTCAAAAATATGTTGCAAGTGTTGTGACTTGCATATATAATACAGCAAGTGTTGTGACTTGCATAAATAATACAGCAAGTGTTGTGACTAGCTAAAAATGTATAGCAAGTGTTGTGACTTGCATAATTAATACAGCAAGTGTTGTGACTTGTATAAATAATGCAGCAAGTGTTGTGACTTACATAAGTAATACAGCAAGTGTTGTGACATGTTAAATTTTATGATAGACGGCTCTGGCTTACCTTCATGTGGTGTCATGGCCTACTTAAATTACACGGCCTGATTTGTTGCATTTTCCGTAAAAAATTAAGAGGCCAGTTTTTTTACGGCTCAAGTATAAAAACTTAATTTTCGCTATGGTTATGAGTCTTGTTTGCACTATAATTGGTTTATTCTGATTTTATTAAAATGGTTTAATAATAGTTAGATTTTATTTGAGTACTTATATTATTTTGTGCTGGATTTTTTGTTAACTGATTGCCTGCTTCAGTTTATTCCAATTACACAGAATACTGAAATAGGCTTTCAGATAGCTATATCAACACATACCAACATGCTACTAAAAATAACCTTACATGTTGCTAAAACTACCCACAACTCTCCATTGGAAATAATTTTAAAGGTTTGTACTTTTTTATTTATTATAATTGCAGTTATTAGATATAAAAAATCGATTTTTCTTTCAAATATTTACACTGCAAAACAACGTTTTGAAATGTAAATACTCTACTATGCTTGTGTTTTATACATACAGCAATTAAAATGCAACAAAACAGGCCAAGAAATATCAGGCATACCAACTGTTTTGGAGTCAATATCTGTTAATAAAATTCTTAATTTTTCATTGCCTAATAAATGCTTATCATATTTCATATTTTCATATTTCTTTATTAAAATGGTTTCGCAGTGGTGAAAATTACAAATTAAAAAACTATATTATATTAAAAATATTATTGACAAAAATTTGTTGTTAAGTGATTATCTGCTTCTTGTGGTTGAGATGTACTTCCAAAAAGCAGCTCAATCTCAAAGTTGTAAACAATTTGATGAAGATTGAGAAAATAATCTTTATAAAGTTGTTTTTGTTTTTATTTTTAAATCTTTACCAAAAGTTTACATAACAAGTTTATGTTTGAAAAAAGAAATTGATGAGTGTATTACCTCAATGCACCAATCTGAATTGAAGATAAGGGCTGTTGTGACAGATAACGATTCTACCAATGTTGATGCATTTTTATAGTTTCTTAAAGCATATATTGGTGATGGAAAACTATTAATTTATCATTCAGTTTAAAAAAGGAGTGTATAAAACATACTTATTATTTGATATACTTCGTTTTATAAAAAATGTAAGAAAAAACTTTTTTTTAAAAAAATTATTAAACAGGCAAGTAAAATTAATTATCAAGTCACATATTTTAGAAACAACAAACAAGTTGTCAACATTGATAATATTTGACGAAACAACTGCAGCTGTAATTTAGAGTTATTTTCCTGAAAGAAATAATGCAACACACTTTAATCATTATTTTATAAGTTATTTATCATACTTAATTCAAAGCAGAAACTTAATTTATCCAATCAAACTCAGCAAAGCTGGTAACAAACCCACACTTTATAGAGAAATTGCAAATAGTACTGAAATTTAATCAAAATAAAATTTGATAAATACTTTACATTAACCAAAAAACTTCTTGTGCTCTTATAACAACCCTACAAGCAACTGTATCTCTTATAAATGATTTTTTTGAGGAAGGCTTTGCAGTTGCTCATAGTTCTATTTTACAAAGTAATCTAGGTTTTAGTAAGTATAATTAAAAACATGCATTAGTAAAAAAGTAAGTATAATTAGAAACATGCATTAGTAAAAAGATTTTTGCGGATTTTCCAAAAAAATATTTTATCAGAATTTTGATAATTATTAAAAAATATTATGCAAGATTTAGCTTAGTTGTCTACATAATTACTAGTGTCAGCTTTTTAAAAACAGCACAGATTTATATACTAAAGCAAGGAATAAAGATAAAAATTAACAATAAGATTTTTATGTTAAATTTATGATTAATAAATGTTACTTTATACAAAGAAGAACCTATATATGCAATTCAACCTGTCTAACTTTATTTGTCTTCTGTTTAGTATTTTATGTTATTTCTCTTATTCAAATAAAAAATTGAAGTCATTCTTTTTCAATTAAAAATTTGCAAAACAAATTTTATAGATTTGTTGTGGCAATGACAATTTTACTAATGAAAAGCACCAAAAGTGGGGAATCAAATAAAGATCTCGTATTGTTATTAACATTTTTATAACAATTTGCAAAAAGAAGTTACATATTCATTGAGTAAAGATCAAGTAAAAAAACTGCAAAAAAGGCAAAGACAAAATAAATATTCCTGTAAAAAGGTATTTCTTCTTTTAATTTCAATTATAAAAATACAAAACTACAAACCTTTGATTTTTTTTTTTTCAATGAAGAGTTTGAGACAATCTTAGCAACATGTAAGGTTATTTTTAATAGCATGTTGGTATGTGTTGATATAGCTATCTGAAAGCCTATTTCAGTATTCTGTGTTATTAGAATAAACTGAAACAGGCGATCAGTTAACAAAAAATCCAGCACAAAATAGTGTGAGTACTCAAATAAAATCTACCTATTATTAAAGCATTTTAATAAAATAAGAATAAACCAATTATAATGCAAACAAGACTCATAACCATATAGAAAATTACGTTTTTATACTTGAGCCGTAAAAAAACTGGCCTCTTAATTTTTTACGGAAAATGCAACAAATCAGGCCGTGTAATTTAAGTAGGCCATGGTGGTGTCTATCGTTAAAAATGATTAAAATATAGTTTCATTATTGGAATTAATCATTTTAATCGTTCAATAAAAGCCAAGACAAAAGTTATATTAAATCATCTTTAAAATAATTACAAATTATAATTTTTTTTATGTTAAGGTTTACTTATTATTTATATTGAAACAGGAAATTTGTTTATTAACCGAAGAAAATGGCTAGCTCGTTAACCATACTGTATGGTCCTGTTAATGTGACAATCACATGAAAGACAATAATATAGGTATTTGCTATACTTGGTTATAAAGATGACATGTTTTTTACAGCCAATTGATTTAATTATAGCCCCACAATAGTAGTTGTATAATTTTTTTCATATATAAAACCAGTTAAATAATAATATTAGGTTAGAGGGGGAAGAAGCATTAGAATGCCTCTTTCCCCTTTAAAACATCATCAACATATCTACAATGAGTTTTACATTCATCTTCCATATTTGATGGTTGTCTGATATGAATTTATTTTTTAATTTATTTCCAATTTCATAATTTTATTTATAAATTTATTATTCAATTTTGAAAACAGTAATTGTATTTATTTTTTTTAGGATAGGTGGGGGGGCATACGCCCCTCCCGTAATAGAAACACCACTTGTATACACAAGATCTTGTATAAAATAATTTTATATTGTATACTAATTTTACACATTTTAGTAAAGATATAAATATAAAATCAAGTCGTTGTTAATACTAGGGTGTATTAAACCACCACCACAACACCCACCTCTATTGCTAACATACACCTCTCATAAATTTTATTGGTTTAGTATAATTTTAAAATAATTTTTTTTAAATAATTATATTGCTTATGTCTTTAAAAAAAACTTTTTTTCTGAAAAAAGTGTTCAGTTTCATACGGGCATGGTTGTGGTTTGGTGCCCCTCTGTCTATCTGAAACGCCCGGTGGTTAGAGTTTAACATAAAGTTGTATCCCACTCTTATACCTATCTTTTGACGCCAAGGTGTTTGCTTTTCGATAAGAATTGTCAAAGTTATGACAATTTAAGTGAAGAAAAACAATATTTTGACCACAGTTTCTTCAACAAATCCATATATCGAAAAATCGGTACTTAAACCGTCATAACTTTTAAACCAAATGTTCGATTTTAATAATTTTTTAAAATACTCTTTCTAATGATATATAGCATTACAGTATTCAAACAATTTTTTACTCACTTACCTATTGTTAAACTATTTGTTGTTGTTGTTGCTAAATCAATATTGCAATTTAATAAAATTATATAATAGTTTAATAAATTACTACATTGCAGTTTGCTTGTGTTGTTTATATTTACTTTTGTTTAAAGCATAATGCCTTGTAAATATAACAAGCATAGTGTTGGTAAACGTGCATACCATACTTGTTCTAATACCATTCTTTTGAAAGAGTTTATGGGTGCAATTAATGAAGGTATGTCTATTCGTCAAGCCTCAAAAAGGTTTAGTTTACCATGAAGCACTATACATAATAAGATGAAGTCAAAGCATAAAAAATGCATTGGTGCACCAACCATATTTACTTATGATGAGGAGCAGTTGTTTTCATCTAGAATCAAAGTTATGTGCGATTCGGGATTTCCATTAAATAAACTTGATGTTAAAATGTTAGTAGCTGGTTATTTAAAATCGCAAAAACGTACTGTAAAAATATTTAAAAACAATCTTCCTGGTGATGATTGGGTTTTATGAAACGTTCACAGTTAACCCATAGAATTGCATCAAATATTAAAAGAAAACGTGCAGCTATAAACAAAGAACAAATAAAAAATTATTTTGACAATATTAGACTTGAGCTTGAAGGGATTCTACCGTATAACATTTGGAATTATGATGAAACAAATTTACGTGATGATCCTGGAAATAAGAAAGTTGTAATGAAACGTAGAACTAAGCACCCTGAGAGGATAATGAATAGCAGTAAGGCTTGTTTCTCTGTAATGTTTTGTGGAAATGGTGTTGGAGAAATTCTTCCACCATACACAGTTTTTAAAAGCACACATTTATACAATTTATGGATAAAACGCGGTCCCAAAAATTCTCGTTTTAATAGAACCCAATCTGGCTGGTTTGATGAAGTTACTTTTGAGGATTAGTTTTTTAGAACATTATTGCCATGCATTAAGAAACAAACTGGGAAAAAAGTATTAATAGGTGACAATCTCTCTTCCCATTTAAGTCATAAAGTTATTCATTCTTGTGAAAAACATAACATTAGATTCATATGCCTTCTGCCTAATTCAACCCACTTGCTTCAACCTCTTGATGTTGCATTCTTTGCACCATTAAAAAAAGCATGGAGAGCTATACTTCTAAATTGGAAACTTACTTCACGTGGTAAAAACTTTGCAATGCTACCAAAAGAAGATTTCTCTAAGTTGCTGAATGATTTAATGACATCCATTAATACATGCTCGAGAAAAAATTTAATAAATGGTTGTGAAGCTTGTGGTTTGGTGCCGTTTAATCCTAATGCTGTGTATATCAAATTACCAAGTGCATTTGTCTTGAGTCCTCGTAAAGCTTTAGACCAGAGCCTTTTAGACATAATAAATGAGAAAAAAAAATGAAGGAGGTGATAAGAAAGATGTTACACAAAGTAAAAATAAACAAAAAATATATATATCCAAAAAAAGACTCAAAATGGAACCAGGAAAATCTATTTCTGTAGAATACGATAGTGAAACAGAAACAGCATCTGAAGGTGAATCAGTCTGTATTGAATTTATGATAGACTACTGAAGATATGTCTAAATTTTTTTTTTTTTTAAAAAAAACAGAGTTAATGTTTCAAATTGTTTGTTTATTCTTTAGTACTCTCTTATTTTTTGCTTTTTCTGACATTTAATAAAAAAAATCAGTAAGTTTTTTTTATCATTTGGTTAAAAAATAATAAAAGAAAATCAAATTATTTTAGGTAATATGTTTCTTTAATACTGTTTATACTTGTTTTTATTGTCCCTTTTTTAATTTCTTGATATTTTTTAAGTACCCCTTTTTGAAATAATTGCGAACTGTAAGTTTAAATTACATTAAATCTTGTTAATAACACTTCATTTACATCCGGTGCTAAAAAACAATTTACTATGTCAAAGTTACCCCATTGCCAGGTAACATTGACCACCTTATTATTTCCATAAAATCTTGGATTTGGTGAATTCAATAAATACACCATTTTACTAATTAAATGACATTAGTAATGCACAACTTTGAGCATAAAAATAGTTTTGGAAAAATGTTCCTTTTTTTCTTAAAGTTATCTTCTTCATCAAAATTGATACAAAGTTACCCCGGTTTACGATATTTATTTTGTAATACTAGGTAAAAAAAAGACAATATTTATGATCCGTTGCTGTTGTTTTTCCTGCCTATTTTTTACAAAATTAAAAAATTTATTAACACTAAAAAAATAGCGTTCCGCAATAACCATTCCGTTAAATAGACAGCGCGCAATTTTAACAATTGTCGTTTTCTTATTGAAACTTTATTTTCGGCTTTACCGAGAAACCCGTGAATCGAGTACACCTCCGCCGAAGCAGTATTTAATTTGCGTGTTTCTGGAACAAAGAGGGAATTGGTTGCTCGTGTATTTTCTGCAATGGAAAACTTTATTGAGCCTGTACTAACTGCTACCGAGGTTTATTGAGCCTGTAACTAACTGCTACTGCTAAGTTGAAGAACTTAAAGATGAATATCAAAAAAAACTTTTAATTGACAATGTTAAATGGAGTGATCCGTTTATCTTATTAGATGGTTATCTGAAGAGGACAGTATTAAACAATGGCTAATGGTTTTGTATACAGATATTTTTAATTATTTGATGTTTAACCCATCTGAATTAGGCAGCAATGACTTAAATGATTATAAAAATTCGAAAGCTTTTAGTTTTTATAAAACAGACTGGCTTCACAAACTCGCATGTCACTGTATAAGTGATGAAAGTTGATTTTGTGAAATAAAAGAAATGCAGACATTCACAACGTATTAATGAGACAAGCCATGTGTCATTAATACGTTGTGGTTGGTTATAGAAGAAAAAAAATGCAAAAGTCTGATCTTGTCACTGTACATGTATGGCAGGAATGAGCCAAAGATGTAACCATGTTGCTTCAGCAATGTTTAGAATTGAAGCTGCTGTAAGAATGGGCTTAATAAATCCAGCTTGCACAATGGTTTCAAATCAATGGCTTCTAAATCGAAAAGATGTTTTACCTGTTAAAATTAAAAATCTAGATTTTAGCAGAGAAAATTTTTCTCAACATTGTAAAAAAAAAAGACCATTTGTAGACAGTTTGTATAAGAAATTTAATCCAACTTCTAATTATTCTAGTAAACTTAATCTTCAGGATGTTGCAAAAGCGTTAAAAGAAATACCCCCTAATTACATTATTTTTAATGCTATCCCTAAACCAGATATTAACTTTATTTTGGAAGTAGTAAACGACATTAGTGTTAATGATATGCTAGTGAGAATACTAATAAGTGTTAATGATATACTGGTAATGTCAAAAAATATATTATCATTTGAAAAAAATATAACACTTCATATGACGCTTAAAAATATTGAAGAAATTGAGCAATTGACCAAAGGAACAAATACTTGTATGAATATAGAAAAGGTGTTATAACAGCTTCAAAAAGTTATGATGTTTGGACAAAAATGAACAAATTAAATAAACTTGATGCGGATATGTGGGAATTAAATCAACTATATCTGGCATGTCATTTGTGGTAAATATACCTGGCATGATATGTGGTAAATATATCTGTCATGATTTTGTGGTAAATATATCTGGCATGATATCATCTATATCTGGCATGATACGTGGGAATTAAATCAACGATATCTGGCATGTCACTTTTTAATTCAAACATACCTTCAATTAAGTATGGTAGGGAAATGGAACAAAATGCTGTTAACTGTTTTTATGAAGTTTTTAAAATCAATCATAAAGGTGTAGCAATGCATGATTGTGGGTTATTTTTAGATAGAGATATTCCTTTCATTGGTAGTAGTCCTGATCGTGTTACTACTTTTTTGTGTTGTCCGCCTGCATGTTTTGAAGGTAAATGCCCATTTTCTATAAATTACTTGTCTCCACTTGATCCGAGTGTGAAACTTCCATATTTGATTAAAAATGATGTTGGTATTTCTTTAAACAAAAATCATGCTTATTATATGCAATGCCTTGTGTAATTGGCTGTTACAAGGCACCATCATTCATATTTTATGGTGTGAACACCTCATGGGAAGAAATCAAGTGTAAATTTATAGACTATTACTATAAATATTATTTGAGAACAATTTATATTCAACACTAAGCTTTGTCGAATAATTAGAAATTGAATTAAACTTGTTATGTAAACTGCCAACAAGTGATTATTCAACTTATAATCAACCACAGTTTATGGCTTGTGCCATCAATATGTTGTAAATGTCTGAAAGCGAGAATGATTGGGAAAACCATTGGCTATTGTTTAATACTGTCCTCTTCAGATAACCAACTATCTAATAAGATAACTGATGACTGCATTAAACTTAGTTAGTGAAAATATTTTTTGATATTTATCATAAAGTTCTTGGACTGCCTCAGTAGCATTTAGCACAGGTTTCATAAAGATTTCCACTGTGACAGTTTGTTTTTTATTTGATAAGGAAAAAAAATATGGCTACATTTTTGGAAATTTCTGTTTTTTTATATTCAAATTTTGATTCCGGCTGCTTCAGCTCCCTTAATTTGCGTTTCAGCCCCCTCCCTCCTCCCAACTTCAAAAGTGACAACTATGTCAAAACAATGGCGGATACATTAGTACAGTTTAAAGTGGGAAATACGGCATAATAAAAAAATATATTCCCTATGGACTTGTAAGCATGATATATTGTTAGGAAAGTAATTCAACGCGAAGTAAATTTTTTCTTAGTTCGTTACATATAATTATTAGTACTGTATCAGAAAGGGCATAGGAAAGTGCAGTTTGTTGCTCTTAAGTTTAGGCCAGGGAGGCCAATATTTTAGGTCTTTTTTGCTCCCAGGCTTCAACATTGTAGACTTTTGTAAAGAATC